TTTGGCCACCTGATGCGAAGAGCTTTTCCTGATTAGAAAAGACCCTGATGCTGGGAAAGACTGGGGGCAGGAGGAGAACGGGGCAACAGAGGATGAGATGGTTGGATGGCGTCACTGACTCAATGGACATGAGTTTGAGCCAGCTCCGGGAGTTAGTGAAGGAAGGGAAGCCTGATGTGCTGCAGTTCACGGGGTCGAAAAGATTCTGACACAACTTAGTGACTGAACAACAACAGAAACAAAAAACTTCTGTACACGACTCTCTCCTTCTCAGTTCCAAAAATCTCTCCTCCCCTGCTTTTGGAGCCAAGAAGTGGCAACACTCCCACTGCTGCCAGCCCTGGATTTTCAACACTGTCCACACTTTTGGATTATCCCAATTTGAAAATGCCGTTTATTTCTATTGGGATTCTGATTGACATAGGACAGATGCTGGAAGTGGTTCCAGGAAACAGACTCATAAAATGGAATTTGGGGTTTGGGTTGATCATGTATTTGAGGAGTCCGAAGATAACTTCCTGGATGAGGACAAATGGGACAAGGCAGTTCATGGTAGATGGTAGGATTGAAATTACCCAACTTATCACAAGGTAAAGCAAGGTGTTTGGAGATCAATGTGTTGTAGCACTTAGAACAGTAATAAAAATTGTGGAGCCACCAGCTCTTTTTATGGCCTTAAAGATCATATATAAGTAAAAAGACAAATGAAAATTATGAATATTCCCATAAGCAATGGAAATCCTCCCAGAAAACTTTAAAAGAATACTTCCTCAACTGTGGGCACTGGGAGGATAGGAATATGGACCAAGTCCAAGTTACAGCATCAATTAAATACACAACACCAACCCACTCCAGTATTCTTGCCTAGAAAATCCCATGGACAGAGGAGCCAGGCAGCCTACAGTCCATAGGATTGCAAAGAATTGGAAATGACTGAGCATGCTTATTATGTATCTTAAGGACACAGGTAGGGAAGGAGTGAAACCCAGTAACATGATACTTTAACTGTGTGGAACTGGGCACCTTATCCAAAAAACTATAAAAATTGGCCTTACAAAGCAGCTGTTTAATTATGAAAATTGAAGAGATAATTATGGAACCCAAGCCAGTCAAGTCAAGCAGGCACCAGTAAGCTGTAAAAACAGGTCTCTTAGATACTTATGGGCTTCCCTGGTGGCTCAGAGAGTAAAGAATCTGCCTGCAATTCAGGAGACCCAGGTTCAATCCCTGGGTCGGGAAGATCCCCGGGAGAAGGAAAAGGCAACCCACTCCAGTATTCTTGCCTGGAGAATCCCCATGGACAGAGGAGCCTGGTGGGCTACAGTCCATGGCGTTGCAAAGAGTCAGACACAACTGAGAGACTGCAGTCACTTAGATGCTTATAGCAACTGTACCTACAGCTTTGCTGCCTCTTTTTCAGCCATACTGTGGCTTCACAGATAATTCCCTGTGGCCAGTTAATAAATAAGGGGAAAGCATGAACCTCATTCTGGGGTGGATCTACAGTGTACCAGAACCAGTCAAAAGTGGAGAGCACCCTGCTATAGCCCCACTGAAATGGCCCTCAGAGACCACAGTGGTGGAAATTCTCCTGGGGCCAAACTTCAGGCAGAATATCTGATTGCCCATTTTAGCCTGAATTATGAATCTACACTGATTCACGTGCTGTGCTGTGCTTAGTCACTCAGTCATGTCTGACTCTTTGCGACCCCATGGACTATAGCCCATTAGGCTCTTCTCATGGGGATTCTCCAGGCAAGAATCCTGGAGTGGGTTGCCATGCCCTCCTCCAGGGGATCTTCCCAAATCAGGGGCTGAACCCAGGTCTCCTCCATTGCAGGTGGATTCTTTACCATCTGAGCCACCAGGGAAGCCCACACTGATTGATACACAGTGAAAAAAGGGTGACTGGCTCCCTGAAGCTTTGAAAGGAAGGTAATCGGTGACACAGAAGTTTGAAGACGTGGACCTCTGGAATGCTGCCCAAAGTGTGAAGATATTAGTGCTTACCTAAGAATGATCATGGTAGTAGAAGTTCTCAATCATCAGATGGACAGGATGCCTCACGCTATAGATCTTAGTTGGCTCCTTTCTCCAGCTGTTCTGGGGGCTTGTTCAATGGATTCATCCATAAAATTCCTCTGGCAACAGGGATGGAAGTTATGCTAGAGCTTAGTAATTGAATCCCCTCCCTGAGGCTCATTTGGCTCTTGTCAGTGGTTAAGTGGACAACCTGCTAATTGCAGAGGTAACCGATAAGCCTTTGATATGATACTATGTTTCCAGGAAGATCAGCTAGTTACCTGGGTGATTACACTGAAACATTCTCTTTATGGAAGAGGTAGCTGTTAGTCTTTGCAAGGAGATGAACTCAATTTCTGGGTGTGGATTTGCCCATAGTATCTCTGCTAACATCATTTATGGACTCAGATTGCCTTATCCATTGCCATATACCTTTTATAACACAGTCTTTAATCAGAGGCAGTAACTAAGCACATATCTTATCACTCAAATGTGGTTGACTTGACGTAATAGTGGAATGACCTGTTGCACCAGCTAGGAGGTAATACCTTTTGAGGGTGTGATGCTGTCCTACTGAATGCAGCATATGCTTTAAATTGCATCTTTGATGGCTCAACAGTAAAGAATTCGTCAGCCAGTGCAGGAGAGGCAGGAGAAATGGGTTTGATCCCTGGATTGGGATGATCCCCTGGAGATGGAAATGGCAACCCACTCCATTCTTGCCTGGAAAATCCCATGGACAGAGGAGCCTGGTGGGCTATAGTCCTCCATAGGGTCACAAAGAGTTGGACACAACTTAGTGACTAACAACAGCAACAACATGCTTTAAATTGGGAACCAGTATAGTGTTGACTTCTTCCAGACAGGATGCATATGTCTGAGGACTAAAGAGTGGAGGTGGGGTGTTCCCTCTCATCATTATGCCTAATAATCTCCTTGAATAACTTTACTTTCTGCCCCTATAACCTTGGCCTCAGTAGGTCTGGCAGTCCTAAAGCCTAAGGAAGAAATGCCTCTACCAGGGAACACAGTTTCAGATTATTTATATCAAGAAGGTTAAGAAGATCACTGAACTGGGTAGGGTGATTATCCCAGTTATTTAGGGGGACCTGGGTTGCTACATAATGAGAGTAAGAAGGACTGTTTTGAAACCTTGGGATTCATTGTGGGTGCCATTTCATACTCCCTTTTCTGAGAATACCAATCAATGAAAAACTAGAGCAAAACACTAAAATTTCAAATTTTCTGGGATGAAGGTTTGAGTTATCACACCAGGTAAAGGACCTCATCCAACTGAAATACTGGCTGAGAGTAATGGGATTTGGAACAGTTGGGGAAAGATGACATCATGACATGGTAGAAGATGCATGTGTGGAGACTACCATTTACTAGTAGAAGCAAGACTGCACTAAGCCTTACTCTGTAAGACAGAATATTTTAGGGTGACCAACTATCCCCATTTCCCAGGACTGAAGTGTTTCCTAAAACATGGGAACCTCAGTGCTAAAGCCAGGAAAGTCCAGGAAAAACCAAAACAAGTCATCCTATTTATGCTCCTCATTTCTTTTAATCAGCACTACGAAAGTAAACAAAGCATGTCTTACATACCTAAGAGGCGTAAGTGAAGATAATAAGCAGTGACTTTGAAATCTGGTGGACCTACATAGTTAAGTCCAGTTTATTTACTTGCTGGATGACCTTGGCCAGACTACATGGCTTCTCCCAAAGCTTCACCTCCTTCTGTGAGTCCACAGGTATTTCCGCACACCATGACCCACTTTAGTATTAGCAAGGAAGACTCTATATGGGCTGCTGTCCCTTTCTGTGTCACTGTTTCTTTGATGCCAAACATATCTGCCCCACTTCTCCAAAGTGCAAGGGGCTTGCCTGACCTGGAGATTCTGCTGCCTCTTGCTGTCCCTTTAAATCTTAACCTCTGTGCCCCATGCAGGCCAAGAAGCCAAAGACCTGCTCCTGCTACAGAAGCAAGGCTATGAAGGGCTTTTCTCCACCTCCAGGGAGCTTGCCTGGACCAACATGTTGTATGAGGTGGCCTGAGGTCATCCATCTACCCCTGGAACACTGCCAGGCTCCTGGAACATGTCAGACCCCAATGGCACCAGTTGTAAGGGATTTTACCACAAAGCATTATTGTGAGGTGAAAGGAATATTTCTAGGGTATGTGCTAGGTACAGGGCACTATGGTAACTGCCTTGAAAAATGGCTCATTTAACCTTGCAACAACTGTATGTCTGGCTTGGAGAAAATGAAGCTCACAGAGGTTAAAGTCACTTGTTTAAAAATCCCCACAAAAGGTAAAAATGATACAGCTGGGATTCAAACCCCATAGAATACTGGAGGTTAGCACCAACATGTAGAAGGTCAAATGGCAAAACCCAAACTGTGACCCCATAGTAGGTGTCACAGGCACAAGTGGCTCCAGGGACCAGGAGGTCCTGGGAATGAGAGTGGAAGGCTGAATAAGGGCTCTGGGGAACTGAGAACTTAAACCCTGTCAACACGGGGTGACCACCGATCAGCTCCGCTTGAGTACTGCCATGAAGGGATGCTCACCCAGTGTGGCCAGAGAAGCTAAAATTCATATTTTTATACAAAATGCTTGTTTAAAGACACTGAAAACTATTCTACTTAAGAAATACATTGATCATGATGTATGGCAGAAGCCAACACAATATTGTAATTATCCTTCAATTAAAAATAAATTAAAAACAAAAACATCAATCTTCTTAGCCCGCTCCCCCCATTCCCTGGTAACCATCAAAGAAAAAAAAATACATGGATCAAATGCATCACACTGCTGCCCACCAGGTTTAACTCCTGCCCTGCACAGTCATGGAAAGAGAAACGGATTGAACAAGGAGTCTGCCAGAGGCCGTGATCATAGCAGAAGAGTGAATTACCTCACAATGTGGAAGCAATGTCACTCATGTAATCTGACCTTGTAATAAAGGTCACTGGGGGGGGGGGCATAGAGTGATAACCAGCTCCTACTGTGTTTCACCTGATAGAGAAGTTGGGACCAACCTGAGATACAGCAGAAAGGTTAGAAATTAGATTAATTAGGTTAGAAATCAGAATCCGAGGATTTTGCGGCATCAAAGTAGTTTACCTTGGGTCACCTCCTTTCCAGATTCTTAAGAATGATGAATTCCCTCCACATTTATGAGTAAAGGTTAATCCCATTTCTTATAAAGACAGTTTGATTCCCCTGTTCTTTTCTGAAAATGTTGTAAATATCATATGGCATGCCTTCTAGGAGCAGTTTTCTAGGAACCCTTTCCTAAGATGTCTTTTGAATCACCCCCTCCTTGGGACCAGGGAATATACAATCATGAATTGTGAATAATTAGACTCATCTACCCAAATCACTTTATCACAGTGAAATTTCCCTCTTTGGAAATTTTCACCAGTTTGACTCTTACTGGGTCCATTCAGCTGCCTCAAGAGGAGGTCCTTGCTCAGTTAAGGATGGGGACAAAATGAGGAGAAGAGGACTGAATTAGGGCAAGAGGGCTGGCTTCTCAGCTATTCGTCCTGGACCCTGGCTGCCTCCCAGGGTCCCTCACTGGAAGAATGGCCTTCTGATGGGGCTCATCCTTTGTTCCAGTGTGTATCATGGAAGGCTATGACATTCTGATTTAGAATTAGAAGACTTGTGTTTATGACTTGCCTCTTACTATCTGTGTGCTCCTGGGCAATTGTTTAACCTCTAGGAACCTCACTGATAAAATGAAAATAATATCTACTTCTGTGGTTCTTAACCAACTCAAAACATGAAAGGTTTATAAACCACAAATCTCCAACATGGACATAGGTCAGATTGCTTTTGGCCATTGCTACTAAAAATACCTATCTTTAATCACCAAGGGGTTGTGGCAGAGGTAACCATTCATACAAAAAAAAAAAAAAAAAAAAAAAAAAGAAAATCATATCTCAGAAGATAGAATGGTCATTGGGAAGTGGCAGCCCAGCCAGAACTATATTTCCTATCTCCTTTGCATTTGACTGGGTTAAGTGAGTAACCTTTACCAAAGGAATACGAGCGAAAGTGATGAGTACCACTTCAGAGCCAAGGCATGAGAAATGTGCCTCCTTCTCTAATTTCTTTTCCACCTACCACCCGAGGAGGAGGACTACAAAGCCTCTGAGATTGGCAGCATTGAAAAATGGGAGAAAACTGAGTTCCTGAGTCCTTGCCTGGAAGAAAGCCAACTACTGACTGGGACCATTCTCGCTGGATTATTATGTGAGTGAGAAATGCTAAAACGTTTTGTTAAGTCCTGACATCCTGGGGTTTCTTTATTACAGCAGCTAAGATTGCTCTAAGTAATAAATGAATCAAGGGGATGGGAATGCTATAGCTCCGCCAGGAAAAAGTGCTGAAAATGCCATGTGCCTAATGCTGGCTGTGTCTTTTCCACACTAGTACACAGGCCAATGGAGCAAAGGAATGGTAAAAGGACATCTGCTATGCTCCATCAGATGAGGTCAGTGGACAGTTTAATCACACAAACACACAGAGATGCATCATATATATATGTGTGTGTATATATATATATATGTATGTATGTATGTATGTATGTATGAATGTATATTCTAGAATCCCAGCATTAAAGCTAGAAGTAATGAGCTTCAGAGGCCATATATTAAAATTTTTTTGTGGCTCAGGAAATGGAGGAAGGTGGACTGGCTCAAGTGCTTAGAGCTATTCAGTGGTGGCATCTTAACTAGTACCAAGTCCTCAGAACTGGTTCAACCAGGTCTCTACAGTTCAACTCAGCTTCTCTCTTGACAAAGTCTAACATCTGGATAACCCAGAAATGACTCACAAAAGGGGAGAGATGGAGACAAATGGATTTTATGATTCTGCATCTACCGTTTCATCGGCTAACAGGCATTTCTCACTGTCAAGTTTGTGGCTGGCAAAAAAAAATGACCGAGCCTTGTTGCCAAACCCTTTGCTCAGACTGCTTTTTTTGTGTTCTTGTGAGTCCTTTTAAACGCTATCCTCTAGCCACGACAACTATTGCTAATCCATGACTCTGCCAGGCCCTGATTCACCCCGTGCCTTCAAGCATGCTGTTTCTTCTTGAGTGTTCTTCTTCACCAACCCCCTCACCAAGATAACTCACTATTCTTCTTCCGAGATTTTACCCACCTCTTCCATTTCCTGTGAAGTCTTCTCCAATTCTTGCAGGCTGAACCAGTGTTTCTTTCCATCGTGTCCTTGTGGTGCTCTGTCTATGCCACCTTTTGACCACTCACGGCACAGAACTATAGTTTTTATTCCCACCTTGATGGCTCATAGGCATCAAAGCCTTCTTCCCGTCCCTTAACTTTTTGGAAAGGGTGACAGTACATACAAGGTGGTCGCCACCCTCCTCTCCTTCCCTGAGTTGTTCAGACCAGGAGTGGACACCTGACAAAGTAACCAGGCCACAGGTACCCCTGCCACCTTGACAGAGCCTTCTACAAAGGATTCTGCCTTTGGGGAATGGCCCCTTTTGATGAAAAATTGGCCCCATTTCCTCCATTGAGAATTTGCATTCAGACTTTAAAAGAGATGGTCCAGGCTGTTGTAGGGAAGAGTTGTGAGGCCATGGTAGTGTGTCAGGGCCATGCCAGACCACGTACAAGATGAGCAAAGCAAGAGCACACTGGGAGAGGGAGGAGGTGGATAGGCTTGCGAGGGAGAAGGAACAAGGATGAGGGACACGCTGTGATTTTGGGGACACGGGACGTGGCCTCAGTTCCTGAGGGCTTTCAGGTCCCTGTGGCCAGCCGTGCTCCTGCCTTGGGTTCCCCAAGAGGCCCCCACCAGGGCTTCGAAGTAGAGCCCCTCTTCATTTCTTGAATGACTTTAATGGGTTTCTGCTTCTTGTAACCCAAAGAGCCTTGGTTAAAGAAGCTCTGCCTCCCGCTCGGGACTGTGAGCTTCTTGAGGTCAGAAACTCTATTTTCCTCTTGACTGTAGCACCAGAACATATCTCAAGGCACACACGGTATTCAAAATAATTTGCTGAAAGAGTCATGAGTGAATGAATGACTGGATGTGCCCATTGGTAATAAACACAGGATGCTGTTGGTCTAGCTGGACTCCCTGACCCAGCAGGCCTTTCTAATACCAAAAGCTCCTTCCCCTTTAATCATCACAGCTCTACCTCTCATGTCCTCCAGCCTCTTAAAATCCAGATTTTGACAGGTGGCATTTCCCTGAAGCTTTTTTTTTTTTTACTTTAAAATTCCTAGGTTTGGCACATGGGCATCTAAGGAGATGACATGTACAAACAGGAGATACAAATAGGAGATGACACTTTCACCTCAACCACTACAGCCCCAGAAGGAACCCAAGGTGGCCCCCTGGACCTTTTCCTGAAGCAACATTGGGAGAAGCAAGCTGTCTTCAGAGAGATATAAGTATAGCTTTTATTTTTTTTTTTTAAAACCAACCCAACATTTCCACTGGCAACTGTCAACATAGCTTATGACATGAACACAGTTTCTTTTTCAGTTATTTGTTTTCTTAAAAAATGTGTTTAAAATTAAACAGGTGTTTTTCATTTCTTCTTTTCCCTTAAAAAATGTATTTATGTCAATGCAGAAAGCCTAAAGATCTGTGGGCAGTCTTTTGGTGATTATATATGTGTGTGTGTGTGTGTGTGTGTGTGTGTATTTTAAAGCCAGGTTCTTTCAAAATTTGTTGGGAAAATGTCTGTAGGGCATGGCGATCTCTCTATGAACCCAGGCTCCATGGAATTATGGCAGCTAAGATTCCTCATACTGGGGCAGAAATAGCCCACAGGCTGGAAAAAGAGCTTCAAGAGGTTTAAAACCAAGCAGGAATGTGGGAGAGATGAGGAATTCCAATCCCTGTCCTGTGAAAATCTTTTCAAACATGACCCAAGAGTCCAGGAGACGTGAAGCCCTCATTTTCTTATAAACTTCTAAGTTTTTGCAGGAAATCAAGAAATAGAGTCAAAGCTCTTAGTCTGGTGCACTAGGAAGTGAGGGAGTGGTGAAGCTGACATCTCTCAGAATCACTGACATTTTCAATAGAATCTTTTCCCTACAGATCCCACTAGGTGGACATCACTTCTCTCCTGCTTCAGATGCAAAGCCAGAGACGTTCTAGAAGGCATATAGCCCTTCTGCTTTCCTAGCTGCCCTCTGTCATCATATTCTATTTCTATTTTTGTCCCCTAGCTCCTGCTCGGTGGGTCTTCTTGCAGAGGGGTAAACATCCAGACACTGATGCAATGAGACAGACAGAATCTGAAAGGCTAGGGCAGGGAAGAGAACAAGGACTTCTTGTTGTAAACTGGATCTTGACAGAAGCTTGAGATAAAGCTGTTCCTGCTCCAGCCACAGTCTCCATTCTTACTGCCTTCGCGGATGTGCGAACTCACCACCACCCAGACACCACAGTCCATTCAAGAAGGCAGAAGATAAAAGGAGAAAGGGAACAGGAACTCGATGGAGCAGGAGACAGCGGTTACCCAGGGAGAGTCGGGGAAAGGGTGTGTCTGAAAGTTCAGGCCTCTGCCTGTCGGCTCAGAGCTTGAGCTCCTTCGCAGCACCGTCATCACTAACCTCAGAGAGAAAAGACAAGGTGGACACAGAAACGATGAGCAAAACCTGGTGGGAAAACGAAAGCAACCATGATACTGACGATGATGAACAGAGACCCTCGAGCCAGCCACGGGGACAGGACTCATTTTCACGCCTCGCGGGCAGAGTGAGAGGATGGTGATGTGTCAAACTGGACAGACAGGAGAAACCCTGTCCCCCCGCCGAGGAAAGTTAGAAAGCCAAGGAATAGTCAGAAGAAGGTGGAAGAGAAGGTGGCGAGAGGGTCTGACTTTGCTATGGGTCAGGGACACGGCGGGAAGACAGGCTGGAGGTGGATCTGTTGCTGTCGTTGGTGTGGATTGAATTAAATATTTTGCCAAGTGGGTATTTTGTCTGTTCCACTGGACGGATGGACTCTACCCTTTCAGTTCACTGCCGGGGCCCAGTCCGGTGATGCTCTGCGGCTCGGGTCCTGAGGCTGCCTCTCTGGGCTGTGGCTCATCCCCCAGAGGCCATGGGTGGGGACGCGCCCTTATCTGGGGAGAAGCTGCAGGCCTGCCCGGCCGGAGGCCTGGTTCTGTGACTCAGAACCCCTTGATGTAGCAGTAGGCCTCCAGCGTGGCGAAGAGTATGTAGAGAAGCCACAGGCTCACAAAGAGCCAAGCTGTGGCCAGCTTGCAGCCACGAGGGCCGCCCAGCTCCCCGCCCAGGTGGGGCCGCCGGCGGTACAAGAGCACGCTGATGCACACGAACGCGAAGATGGTGAAGAGGGTGACGGAAAAGGCCAGCGTGCCAGCCGACACGTGAAACTCCTGTCCCTGCAGGGCCCAGTAGATGGCGGCCACGGACCAGGCCAGGCCAATGCCCAGGAAGACGTTGACGGCGTTGCTGCCCGTGACGTTGCCGATGGAGGCGTCTGCGTACACGTCCTGGATGGCAGCCGCTTTGCTGGCAAACGTATCTGGAAAGAGGCAGAGACAGTGAGAGCCGGCGGGGAGGTTGAGATGGGAGGGCCTTCCGTGGAGAGGGGCCGAAAGGTGGCCGGGGCCGGCAGGCTGAGCCTTGGGAGTGAGAGGCAGGGGCCTGGGGGCTACTCCCTGCTCCACTGTTAATAAACTGTGTGGCCTTGGGCTGGTCACCTTACTTTTCTGGGCTTCCGTTCCTAATCTGCCTGAGCCTGAAAGGTTCCCAAGGGTCCTTCTGGTCCTGATATTTACTGAGTGGCTTTTATGGTTCCCTTCTGACTACTTCTGTAAGGGGGGTGTGCTTTCCCGTAATTTCCCAGGGAACTCTGACATCCAGGGAAGCTGCTTAGAATACGTGCCTGATTTCCCGTCACGTGGGATATTTACATTCAAAACAGACTGTGATTGAGCCCGTGGGCTTAGCATTGTGCTAAGGGCTGGATTTATGGGGACAGAGGACACCGGGGGAGATGTAGGGACTAATGATGGGGAGATCCTTGGGCTCAAGAATGACAGGGCTCAGGATTCGCAGCCTGCATACAGAGCACAGGGCCTCGAAGGCTATTGGACGTTAGAGGTTGGTATGGGTTGTAGGCACTGGAAGGATGGACAGCCACCCTTTTATTTGACAAGTTAGGAAAAATAAGGGTCAAGGAATCTACTCAAGGTAAGTTAGCAATAGCACCGTCATCACTAACCTCAGAGAGAAAAGACAAGGTGGACACAGAAACGATGAGCAAAACCTGGTGGGAAAACGAAAGCAACCATGATACTGACGATGATGAACAGAGACCCTCGAGCCAGCCACGGGGACAGGACTCATTTTCACGCCTCGCGGGCAGAGTGAGAGGATGGTGATGTGTCAAACTGGACAGACAGGAGAAACCCTGTCCCCCCGCCGAGGAAAGTTAGAAAGCCAAGGAATAGTCAGAAGAAGGTGGAAGAGAAGGTGGCGAGAGGGTCTGACTTTGCTATGGGTCAGGGACACGGCGGGAAGACAGGCTGGAGGTGGATCTGTTGCTGTCGTTGGTGTGGATTGAATTAAATATTTTGCCAAGTGGGTATTTTGTCTGTTCCACTGGACGGATGGACTCTACCCTTTCAGTTCACTGCCGGGGCCCAGTCCGGTGATGCTCTGCGGCTCGGGTCCTGAGGCTGCCTCTCTGGGCTGTGGCTCATCCCCCAGAGGCCATGGGTGGGGACGCGCCCTTATCTGGGGAGAAGCTGCAGGCCTGCCCGGCCGGAGGCCTGGTTCTGTGACTCAGAACCCCTTGATGTAGCAGTAGGCCTCCAGCGTGGCGAAGAGTATGTAGAGAAGCCACAGGCTCACAAAGAGCCAAGCTGTGGCCAGCTTGCAGCCACGAGGGCCGCCCAGCTCCCCGCCCAGGTGGGGCCGCCGGCGGTACAAGAGCACGCTGATGCACACGAACGCGAAGATGGTGAAGAGGGTGACGGAAAAGGCCAGCGTGCCAGCCGACACGTGAAACTCCTGTCCCTGCAGGGCCCAGTAGATGGCGGCCACGGACCAGGCCAGGCCAATGCCCAGGAAGACGTTGACGGCGTTGCTGCCCGTGACGTTGCCGATGGAGGCGTCTGCGTACACGTCCTGGATGGCAGCCGCTTTGCTGGCAAACGTATCTGGAAAGAGGCAGAGACAGTGAGAGCCGGCGGGGAGGTTGAGATGGGAGGGCCTTCCGTGGAGAGGGGCCGAAAGGTGGCCGGGGCCGGCAGGCTGAGCCTTGGGAGTGAGAGGCAGGGGCCTGGGGGCTACTCCCTGCTCCACTGTTAATAAACTGTGTGGCCTTGGGCTGGTCACCTTACTTTTCTGGGCTTCCGTTCCTAATCTGCCTGAGCCTGAAAGGTTCCCAAGGGTCCTTCTGGTGCTGATATTTACTGAGTGGCTTTTATGGTTCCCTTCTGACTACTTCTGTAAGGGGGGTGTGCTTTCCCGTAATTTCCCAGGGAACTCTGACATCCAGGGAAGTTGCTTAGAATACGTGCCTGATTTCCCCTGTCACGTGGGATATTTACGTTCAAAACAGACTGTGATTGAGCCCGTGGGCTTAGCATTGTGCTAAGGGCTGGATTTATGGGGACAGAGGACACAGGGGGAGATGTAGGGACTAATGATGGGTAGATCCTTGGGCTCAAGAATGACAGGGCTCAGGATTCGCAGTCTGCATACAGAGCACAGGGCCTCGAAGGCTACTGGACTTTAGAGGTTGGTATGGATTGTAGGCACTGGAAGGATGGACAGCCACCCTTTTATTTGACAAGTTAGGAAAAATAAGGGTCAAGGAATCTACTCAAGGTAAGTTAGCAAGAGATTTGACCTGAAAACCCTCATCTGAGAGCCGTTTCCATAGCTTAACCCGACATCCAAACAGCTTCAGCCAAAGCCACAAATCAGCTGAGTGGACCACAGCATCACCTTCCAGCCCCTAATGCGGCCAGCTGTTCTCTGCACCCACTGCAAGGTCTTGGACAAGCCCCAAGCTCTCCCTTGTCCAGCCTGCCTCCTCATTGCCAATATTGTCCCCAAGAAAACCTCTTGTCTTTTCTTGCCTGTGACCTTGCCTTCTTATTTTTTTAACTTCTGATCCTTTGCAACTTCTTCCCACCTCTGTTCCTTTTACCCATATCTGCTCCTTCCCCTCTGATAGTTCCTCGAGGCCCCAGAGAACAGAGGTAAGTCACAGGGTATCTCTCCCACAAAGCCTTCCCTCAATTATCCATTTAATTTCCTACCACTCCATGCAGTCCCATGATAGCCAAACCTTTTGCATCATTAATGTACAAATAATTCCACTGCTCTTTGCTGGGGTCTGGGGAAGTGGCTTCTCCAGAGTGTGAGGCAGACTCAGTTACTCTCCAGAAGGATATGCTTTCTTGGCACAAGAAGGGTTTCCAGCCAGCAGAGTCCTGTCTGATGAGGTTTGGCCCAGCCTTTCCATAGAAAGGAGCTGTCTCTGTCTTCCTACTGCAATTGGGAGGCCAGCTCCTTGGTAGGAATTTGGGGTTCAGACACTCTGGAGACCCCATCTGAACTAAGTAAGGAACTTGAGCTAATGTAGCCCCTCTCTACCTGCTTACCCCTGCTTGCCTTCTCAGCCCAGCTGAGGTCCCCCTTGTCCATACTTGCACAGTGCCTGTACATTTTCGTCATCAAGCTTATTGAGATGATTTGAATGATCATAGTTGAATGTGGTCTCCTTCATTAGATTATAAACTTCACTTGGAGAGGAAAGTTAAGTGTGTTTCCCATTACAGTCCCGGCAACCAGCACAAAACTGTATCAGGCTCAGTAAACATTTGTCTAACGAATGAATAAAGGCATGTCTGTCCCTATTCATCTCTAGGTGTTTATGAGAAAAAAAAAAAATGTGATTCATAATATGAAAGACAAGAGCCCGTGAAGCTTCCTTCACCTGTCCTGCTTGGAGACACTTGGTATTTACAGGTGTCCTAAGCAGAGCAGGTTTGCGGGCGTTTCTTCTGCACGTCTCCAAGCAGGCTAATCTGCAGCCAGAGGGACATGGCCTACTCGTCTGATGCGGAGGTTAAGAAAGTGGGTCACCGAGTTCAGCAAGTGATTTAACCTCTCTGGGCCTCAGTTTCCTCATCTGTCAAGTGGGGATAATAACTCTCCTTATTGAATAAGGTTTGGGTGAGGGTTACAGGGCTAAAACAGGTAAGTTGCTTAGCATAAATACCACCTGACACATCAGAAGTGCTCAAGAAATGTTAACGATCATTCTTAATGGTAGCAGGGGTCCCTTGGGTTGACCTTCATGTACCTTAGAGGTAGAGGCTCTGTTAAGCTCATATCTGAGATGGTAGGGAAGATAATGAGGCAAATCGGAGGGCTCACTTGAACTAGGTAATGTCCCCTTTGCAAATCCAAGCCCCCCCTCACTCTCACCTGGCACCGAGGTGCCAAATGCCACAAAAATAACAGCCGTGACTGAGTCCTTGAGGCCAATGGTGCAGCCAAAGTGGGAGGCCAGGTCCCCGATGATGGCGGTGAGCATGCCAATGATGAGAATGGAGACAACGAAGCAGGCCCAGCCGTGGCAGTACTCTGTGGGGGGCACGCAGGCAAACAGCACCTTCCAGAAGACCGTGAGGAAGTGCATGACGTAGTCAAAGCAGGAAGGCAGCCTCTCCTCGCCTGACTCATCCTCATCCTCGTCCCCTGCTGAAGGCAAGACAAGCGGGCAGCGGGGTCAGATCCTCATTCATGAGAAAGTCAAGTCCAATCCACATCAGGAGCATCACTGGCCGCACGGAGACGCCAGCCATCTCCTTGGCAGCTGGTGCAGGCACCCGAAAACAGGAGGGAAAGAGAAAACACATCAGGATGCCCCCCCTAGTCAATTTGAATGCAGGGAGAGTGAGAGAGTGGGAGAGAGGGAACAGTAAGAAAGAAGAGAAAGAGATAGAATGTGGGAATGTGAAAAGGACAGGGCAGTGGAGAAGAGAGGGAGGAAGAAGGAGAAGGTATGGGGTTGCTTAGGTGAAGAAAAGTGAGAGCNGCAAGCGTCTTTTAATTCCATGGCTGCAGTCACCATCTGCAGGAATTTTGGAGCACAAGGAAGTAAAGTTTCCCACTGTTTTCATTTTTACCCATCTATTTGCCATGAAGGGATGGGACTGGACACCATGATCTTCATTTTCTGAATGTTGAGTTTTAAGCCAGCTTTTTCACTCTCCTCTTTCACCTTCATCAAAAGGCTCTTTAGTTCCTCTTCACTTTCTGCCCTAAGGGTGGTGTCATCTGCATATCTGAAGTTATTGATATTTCTCCCGGCAATCTTGATTCCAGCTTGTGCTTCATTCAGCATTTTGCATGATGTACTCTGCATATAAACTAAATAAGCAGGGTGACATTATACAGCTGTGACGTACTCCTTTCCCGATTTTGAACCAGTCCTTGGTTCTATGTTCGGTTCTAACTGTTGCTTCTTGACTCGCACACAGGTTTGCCATTCTCCAAATATCCTATGGGACGGAGCCAGGCTGGTCCTGGTTTGTCCTTGCCAGGAAAGGCGGGCAGAGTTGCCCATTCCACAGTCCAGGAGGAGAGGGTGCGCTGCAGCTCCATCAAGGGCAGGCTCTCTCATGTTTCAACATGACCTGCAGAAGCAGGATTCCAGGCACTTGGGCTCCAATTGCATCTTTGCCATGAAGAGAATCTGGAACCTGGCATCAATCCCTTTTTCTTTCCGAACCTCTTTCTTTCCGTTCCCTCATTTGAAAAAGGAGGGCGTTAGATTATGTGGCTGATAGTCCGCTCACTGTCTCTTTGGGGGCAAAGTAAGGTCATGAGAGGGGGAGTCTGGAAGCAGGGGATAGAAAAAGTGGGGCAGTGAACACCGCAGCAGTGGCCCTCTCTTCCTGTCTGTACTTTGGCTGTGGTGCTGGGACCTCAGGGATGTGACCCGGTAGGTTGCTATGACAACAAAGCTTCATGGAAAGAGACAAGGCCCTTAGTGCTGGCCAGCACAGAAGGCCTCTGTGGTGCTGAGAGGCACTTCTGCTGGGGGTGATGAGACCCCTCCCTCCCCAGGCCAACCTGCATGTAGCCTCCGGGATGCTGGCTGTGCTATGGGTCCCCACTGAGGAAACCTGTCACTAAGTGCCAAGGAGAGGTCTGGTATCATCCAGGGCAGAGGTCTGTCAGTCAATGCAAAGTTTTTACAAACCTCAGACCCGCACATCTCTAAATCAGAATAGTCTCCCACTTTACAGAAAAGGAGGACTGCCTTAACAAGATGATGGAATGATGAAAACCAGAATTTCTTAAGTTTCTATTTAGTACCAGACTCTGTAGCTTTCTACTCTCTTTGCTGAGAAAGAAGGGTAGCAATAGTTCCTTTTTTGGGTGACAAAACTGAAACACGGGGAGGATAGCTTGTCTCAGTTCACATAGCATGCATATGTGCTCAATCGTGTCCAACTCTTTGTGACCCCATGGACTGTAGCCCACCAGGCTCCTCTGTCCATAAGATTTTTCAGGCAGGAATACTGGAGTGGGCTGCCATTTCCTTCTCCAGGGATTTTCCTGACCCAGGGATTGAACTTGCATCTCTGGCATCTGCTGCATTGGCAGGTAGATTCTTTACCACTAATGCTCCCTGGGAAGCTCTTCACACAGCAGAACCAGGGTCTGAAAGCAGAGATAGCCATGCTCTTTTAGTCACCCCCACAGTTGTCTTCCAAAGTGACCCAGTGAAAAGACAAACATCTAGGGTAAGAGCTGGGAAGGCTGGCCACTAAGGCCCTTCCTGAGATGGGTGAGCTGGTGCCATGTCTGCGTTCCTGCTTCTCTGGAGCTTCCTGCTCCTCCCAGCAAAGCCTGTGTCCGTCTTGAGACCCTCTTACCTGCACTGACAGTGATGGCCTCCATGAACTGGTCCCTCCAGGAATGGGTCCCCACGACCAAGGCCAGGTTTGTCTTCCTAATCAGCTTGTCCACGGTAGTCTGTCAGGGAGATTAAAACTTGGAACCATGAGGTCAGAATGCTCAGAACCATTGAAGAATTTGGCACTTCGTGGGGATGAAAGATACCCTGCACTCCAGGGGGCTCCATGTGGGTTCTGAAAGTTATGCATGAAATGGCCTCAGGGGGCATCTTCTGGCATAGTCCTTCTACTGTCCTCTTCTTTGGCTGTGACTGCTGACATTGGATATTTAAAGCAATACAATAGAGAATAACACTAATGATGTCAGTAAACCTAGACCTGGGGTAGTGAATTTCAGTATCTTGTTTTAAAAATACAATTAAATAGTGATGATACTTCAGGGGTATTACAGCTCATTTGTTCCATAGGCCCTGCAACATTTCCTCACTGTTCCTAAGTTATAAATGACCAGCACTGTTTGTTCCATGTTACAAATGGGAAAACTGAGACTGGGATGGGTAAGTGATTTGTCCAGTTTCAACTTTATGTATTCAGTGGTGACGTTAGAACAAAACTCCAGGTCTTTTACCTCCCACCTCATTATTCTATTATTCAGTTACATCTCACTTATGGCCTGACCTTGAACTCATAGGACTCTTCAATGATGACCTCTAGTTTGGGGTGTTCACCCAGTATTGGCTTTCCCATTTCTGCTATCCTCTTGGCCTCCTCTTCTTCCACAGTCAGCTTCCTGTCTGTCACCTCTGCAACAAAACAAAACCAGATGAGCTTTAGCACATTTGCCATTCCCTGGAAGTCTAAATAAAGCTTAAAGTATTAGGCACTGGCAATGAGCACACAGGAAATAGCTATTGAGGAAGGGGTTTTGTGTACTTGTTAGTGCCTCTTTCTATAAGCTGCTAAACAGACCATGAAAGGGTTCCTTGCATGTCTGGGCTTAACATTCCTCTTTCCATTTTATACCTGGCTTGGGGGTGGGGGCAGAAACCTGACCCAAAGATCTTCTCAGAAGCAGCACCAAGTGAAGCCCCAAGACATTTGATGAGATATTGAAGAGCTGGGAACAAAAGCCAAATCTCTTGACCTTTAACAGTTTTGAACTGTTGGGCATGACTGGCATGACTACTTCATATAAAGGTTCCTGGGGGTCAGAAGCAGATTTCAGTCAAAGGGAATGTCCACTAGCTCACATTAACATCTGTCTCCAACATTCTTAGGACTATAAATTCTATAAGGGACAAAGAAGGATGTTTCCAGGAATATCTACATTTCGAACTAGTGAATATTAGCCTCACAATGAGAACTTGGAAGACTTCCCCCAAAATGTCACGATTTCTAAATGAAAGAGCCCTAGGATTTCTAAGGAACCAGGCACATTTCTTCTGAAATACAAATACTTGTTCAAAAACACACAAAAAGAAAGTTCTTCCTTTATTTCTTTCTGAGGCATTCCCAGTTTCCCCTCAGTATCTCGACTCATTTATGATCCCTTCTCAAAATGTTGAACAGTTAGAAACTTTTTCCACTTCAGCCGGTGAGTCCATTTTAAGACCACTTCACCATGAAGATGTGTTTTCTAGATTAAAGTGAAACAGAGATTGAATCTTTTTATTCCCCTTTGATTAGAAAATTGCTCTTGGCAGTCTGTTTCTTTCAGAGCTTGTTTAAACATCTTTCCATCCGAGTCCACATTCTTACATGCAATTAATTCTTTTATTTGGCTCTTTAATTGCTTTTATTCCACACAGTGAATCTCCCAGGGGAGTTTTCTAGTCCTTGAGTAATCTCAAGGACAAAATGGGTCAGAGGACAAGAAGGTCTTCTTTTCTTTCTACCTTGGGAATTGGTGAAGCATGCTGAGGGGTGAGACTTGAGCTCTCGAGGTTGCAAGGAAAATAATTTACTGGAAAGATCGTAAACCAGGCAGAGTGTCTGTTTTATATAAGAATTTTTAAAGCTGTTTTGAATGAAGACTGGTAAGAGAGTGCAGTGGATTCCTGGGCTGGCTGTTTTACTCAGTGCTGGTTCCAAAGGCAGAAGGCAATCCCAAACCGCTGGGGAGCTGTCCGTGGTGCTGTCCTCCTGCTAGTGTTGGTGACCACTTTTGGAAACAGTTACTTCTCATGGATCAGTGTCCTCCTGTACATTTCTAAGCATATACCCTCTTGCAGCCTGACTTCATTTAGTCCATAGGAGCTTCTTATTAGGTAATTCTGAAAATAAGTCTGGCTAGGAAGTCAGTGATCCTAGAAGACAGACTGCAAGCCACTCTGACTAAAAGTCTTTGTAAAACATATATATGTAGATTCTTTAAAAGCATGGGCATACTTTTCCTCTACTTGTGCTCTTTAGGACCATATTACAAAGCCTATCCTAGTAGTGACAGTATTATTCTACTCCTCCCTCCCCATTTCCCCCATGTCATACTTTACATGTGCCGCAAGAACTTTATCCCAATATAATGAGCTCTCCAGTGACTTATAAATGTACCTGTCTAACCCCTTGTCTGGCTATCAATCTAGCACTGTATCCATCTGGCAGGATATTGATCTAGCTACTGACCTGTCCAGCTCTGTGGTGACAGTCAGTTCTTCCATCTAGCTCTCTGCAGAAATCACTTTGACAAATAACCAATCCTCTATCTTTGGATCTCCCACAGCCCCACAGAGGTACTCTCTCTATATATATATCTGTTAATGATTCACATGCCTTTCAATCAATTCTGATTTAGTATCATGGTTTGGTAGTAATTCCTGCCTTACTTCTGTAATGATCATTTCTTTACATTCAAATTAAGTTAATTTCTTGAGAGGGTGAGAAGTCTCAAACCTTAAAGATCATAATTATTCTGATTTTACTTGTATTATTACTTGTTTATGTAACCTCTCAATTTTGAGTGTAGAAAATAAATGACATGTGACCTTGATATTCAGACTGACTAAACAAACGCTTAGATGTAGGAAAAGCAGGAGGAAGGGGGAAAAGAGAGAATGAACCTATTAATAGGATGGAAGATTAAGCAAATATTGGAAGAGAGAAGAGCTTGCCAGGCCAGACTGGAATAGATTACCATGAATGTTCTACAGACATTCTCAGAAATAAATGGGGTGGTGTAGTCAGTGTTCTAACTCCCAGGCCCCTGAGCTTGGAGGTATAGCTCAGATTGAACACATTTTCTCCCCGTTTATCACGAGGCAGTGTGAATCACGTTTGCTTGGCCACCTGGAAAAATCCAAACAAGGAGTTGAGATTTCCAGTGAATTTAAAGTCTAACCAAGGGCTCCTAAATTGAAGGTTTACAGACTGAAAGATCTAGGAAATGACACCTTCTTTTCCTGTTTTAGCTTCTACTGGTATCTGTGCCAGTGTGCTAAAAGTATAATGAAGCTTAAATTAAATCACAATCTCTGTTTTGAGCATATGTATGTGTGGCTGGTAGTGGGTAGAGGCAAGAGTTGGAACAAAAAAGCCCAAATGCCTTCTCAGGCGAGAAGATGAGCTAAGTGGAGAAGGAACACCCAATGCTTTGACATTAAAACCTGGGAGACGAGTGGAATATATGGGGTTGGAGGTAGTCATTATCTTATTGATATAAGAGGAAGGAAGAAACCAAGGAAGCTGAAGTAGTTTTTTCCAGAAAGGGAAAATGTAGGAGTTTANTTTTTTTTTTTTTTTTTTGGTTTATGACTCCAAGGAGGTCAATGTCCTTACTATGTAACCTGCCCCTTTCTCAAACTCAGTGTACAGCCTATGGTGACTATCAGTGATTCTGAAAGATGTTTTGCATCTCAAATGACCTTACAATTTTTATACATTCAAAGAACAGATGAAATGTAAAATGTTATTTTAACATATATTGAGACACCTTGTATAGCTCGCTCTGTCTGCACCAAGAGTTATGGTGTTGCCCATATGCCAGCAATGCCTTCCTAACTGCTCACAAGTTGGATACTGTCTATGATTTGATTACATGGATGCAAGCATATTTGGTACATTTCCTATGACAGGCTCTAGATTCTGTGTAAGAATATCCCCAATATAAATTCTCCCAAATTTCTATATCCAATCAAATAATTGCCCCCTTACCCCATAATATTCTGATTCTTCTTGTCATTCATGGCACATGTGATTTCAAAGATCAATGACAAATGAACCAAAGTTCTAGAAATTTAGGTCTCTGCTATGATGAGATGGAAGATCTTCAGGATCAATAAAATTCCAGATTCCTTAAAAAATACTTTTCATGTTCTCACAGCAGCTCCTGATTATTTCTCCCCGGACCCCATCCAGATTGAAGTATTTCCTTTCTCATTCCACTATGATCCTATGAGGAGAGTCAGCTCTGACTCTCATCCTCTCTTGCCCCACAACATGAGATGACAGAGGAATTAGACAGGAGAAGTGTATGACCTCCCCTCACTTATTCAGTAAGTTTCAGTTCTCTTCCTCTCAGAGAGGACCAACTATGCCTTTACCCACATCCACTGAAATGGTGCTCAAGGAATTGTCTACCTCCTCACAATCACTTCTGGTAGGAAAATAAATCTCCTGGTCCTTAGGAGAACTTAAGTTAAGCCCACAGCTCCTAGTAAATACAGCAAAGGATACTGGTCTTAAAGTAAATAATGGCATTGGCAAGAAGCAGAAAAAGGGATGGGGGGAAGACACCTCTTACCTGGCGATAACAGGAGCGCTGTTTGCAAATTGGTACCAGACAAAGGGAAGAAAGAAAAGGAAAGAGCATTAAGGTCCCATCTTGAAAGTGTCCCCAGGTTTTGTGGCTGCAGGAGCACAAGGGAAGCAGTGAGCTTAGGTGAGAGCACTGTGGCCACATGCAAAAGGCAGCAGTTGGAGCATGCGCAGCAGCCACAGCAAGAGGTGTGGGCTACTGGAGAGACCACTGAGCACCAGGGCCTTGCAGCTGCAAGTTTTCCCCACAACTTCCCTGCAACCCTGCGGGCCACGGATAGAGGAATGAGGATGGGGGGAACCAAGTAGGTGGAGTAGAGACAGAGTTGGCCATTCGTGATTTTCTAAGGGATCAGGTTATCACATCCATTCTGTAAAGGAGTGAGAATCCAGTTATCTTCAAACTGTACAGGTTGCAACCCTACCAGGGCTTTGAGTATCCCTAAGAGAATAACCTCATGAAAAGATAAATGCTGCAAAATGTTTTCCTTGAACAGTGTATCATTTTATAGAGAAAGGCTGGAGGTTGGAGGCCATGGACTCCTCCCATGTTGCATCAACTCTATCTACTGTGCAAAGTCACTGTGAAGCCAACTGCAAAGTCATTGCAATGGGGAGATGTTCAGTAGAGGTTTGCCATTTGCCATTTATTTTGGCAATTTTATTGTCCACAGATCCTGTGGGGTTGCATCACTGAATGGTGTTTTGTTTCAGAAAGGACAGGCTAAGTCAGAGACTAGATATTCTGGACCAGAGAGACTGTTGTACCAAAAGCTACTGACAGATGGGAGATGACAAATGCAAGGTCCCTAAATGGTCTGGTAAGCTGAGTTAAAGATATACCCCGCACAGGTCTTTCCTATCCCGAGTTTTCACTTATGCTAAAGTCTCCTAGATTTCAAGATAAAAGAAATTCTTGTAACATACCACATTTTCACTTTGATGGTGTCTTAGTATAGCACCTCAGTCCCTGCCTCTTGTCAAATAAAAGCCTGGGAATATCCTGCTACATACTCCTGGTGCAGCTGGTGACTGATGGGGATTGATGAGGAATAAGTGAGGCAGGGGGCAAGGGAAGGTGTCTGTAGATTGGTTCTTCTAAAAATCTCTAAGAACACAACTCAGGTCTGCAATTCCATATTCACAGCCACTGAAAACACATATGGATACAGAATCTTTATGGTACATAATCAGGGAGAATAGCAGTTGGCTTTTTATGGTTTCTCCCATATGGAATTCTAAGGGGCAATGGATCAATGGATCTTTGTACTACACTGAGATGAGAGATAGATAGATAGAAAGACAGCCTGCTCATTCTACTCCTTCTATGGATCTTCACAGAAGAGTCTCTCCTGGCCCCCAGGTTCTGGTGGAGAGTAGAAAAAAAAGAAAAGAAGAGTAGAGACCCAAACAAATCAGTGTACCCAGGCAGGCCAGACAAAGGGCAGCTCTTCCAGAAAAGTCCCTGCTGCTCTAGTTTTCACTGAGACATCCCTCCCAACACCAGGATCGTCTCTAGCACAATGAGAGGACTTTCAGTCAGCTGAACTGCACTGTTTTCTGGTCCTGTCTATATGAATCTGAGACTTTCCACTCAACAGTTATGGATGGATCAGTGAGATCCAGGTAGACACATTGAGAGACAGGATACCTCCAGGGTGTTTTTCCTGCTGTGGCTGATGAGAGAAGCTGGAGCTGAGCCTTTCTCTGCGTTGATCCCCCAGGGTCAGGGGATTGCTCAGATACCCCAGGGACAAGCAGTAAACAACACCAACTCTGAGCATTTGGAACTTGTTTGGGGGAGCCCATGGATGTGGTAAGAGAAGGCACAAACAGGCTTCCAATGTCCAGGCCCAGGCCTGCAGCCTTGATCGTGCTGCTCAGAGTTGCTCTCAGTTGTCCACTGCTAAATTCCAATGCCTCCTCCACTCCTGGGCAACTGTGTTTCCTGTTCAACCCCTCCTATTCCCTCCCCTAGTTTGTCCGGAGGATTTAATCTCCCCTCTGAAATCTGTTTTGTTTGCCAAGAATAGAATCTCTTATTTCAAATACAGCATTTTACTTTTTTTCTAATGCAATTGTCACTTTGACCATGCACCCACTATGCTATGCTCTTCTGAATGCCTAAGCCTCTCCCATGCAGCAGTGATAATGAAAAGCAATGTCCACTGCGTTGTTTCTCACCAGGAGAACAGCAGGACATTCTGGATATCAGCATGGAGTTTCATTTGGTTCTGAGTCTAGACAATCAAGTTTTATGACCTTTCACCTTGTGATCTAATGCCAAAATATGGGAAGATCTGAATAAACTGAAAATGAACCCTATAGACAATAGAAACCTACAGATAATGGACACCTTTCCTACTGGTACCTTCCATCTTGGTCACTGGGAAGATCTGGGGGCATATCACACTAGTAGCTTGATGAAATCCTTATCTTCTCTCCTACTGCCGCCCCCAGGATTGGACTCCATCATGGCTCTGCTGACATCTCCTTGGACAGAATCCATTGCAGCGAAAAGGGGTCCTCAAATGAAGCATAGCCATAGGCTTTTGTGTTTGGTCAAGTCTCTTGAAGATCACAAGATTTATCCTGCCGTTGAATGGTCTTTATTGGGGAGGCAGGAAAAAAAAAAAGCCTCCTCACTGGTAGAATAAAGTCATGGATGGACTTGCAACTCATTCTTCTTGTTTCGAGAAGACTGCCTTCTTTTTAGCCACCCTGTGTGATCCTTTGTCCAGCTTTCATTTGCACATAAGTAGCTAGGGACTATGGAAATTGATGAGGCTAGTTTACAACAGCCTTAGATGTCAGCTGTGTCCAACCAATCATGAAGATGCGCAGTAAATGTAGAAAGGAGATGGGAATGAGGTAGGGCAGATATTGAGACAATTTCTGAGACTAGTCCAGGTGGCAGGAACACAATCCGGGAAGCAACGGAAATTACTCTTTTCTTCCAGCACTCTTTGGGAATCAGGCTCATGGCAACATCTTATTAGGTGGCCAAGAAGAGAATGAATAATGAAAAGCAGAGAGGGCTTCTGGTTCTCCAACACCAGGTGTGACCAAACCAGTGTGGGCACAGAAACAGTCAGATCTGCAGAGTCAGAAGACAAGGGGAACTGAGCAATCATTCATGTCTCAGAAGAAGACCTGGGCACAAGCCTTAGAGAATGTAGTGGCTGAATATCTTAGATCTGTCCTTGAGTGAAAGGCTTCATGCTGCTGTTTGTCATGTGAAGTAGTGGCAGAAGCATCATCTTTTTTGACAAACAAGTAGGTCTCACTGTTCTATCCTCCATGAGGCTCCCAGCAGCACATGTGTCCTGAAGGGGAGTCTAAATGACCCCCTCTTGGCATTTCCCAAGAGCGTTCTTACCCACATATACTCCTCCAACACTTTCAAAGGTGTAGCTTCCAATCATTTTCTTCAAGGGAAGAAATATTTCCTGACATTTACCTTGGTTGCAACATAATCAGTCCCTTTGTCAGGTATCCCAAGATGCAGATCCTGAGGACAGGAGGAGAGGAGGCCACGTCTCTGGTGTGGGATGAGGGTTATCTCGAGACCTGGGTGATACTCTCATTTGCAGATGCCAAGCCAAGGCTGCCTTCTGTGAACTGTCCGACATCTCTTTCTCAAGGATTAACACCAAACACGCCATTGAGAGTTCCTCCTATTGGAAAACCCAAAAGGCCATACTCTGGGCCGGCCCAGTGTCAGTCTTTTTCCAGGGCCTTCTGGCTGAGGTGATTTCCATACCTGGAGTTAATCACTTCATATTTGCTGACTCAATTTTCTGCTTTCAGGACTGCATTACCCTAAAGCAGTCAGAATAAAGTACCCTGCCTTGGGCTAGACAAGAAGTAGAACGAGATGGGGTGGGATGTCAAGGGAAGGATGAACAGCTCAGGGTTCCAGATGGCATGACTACCTTGGAAGCCAGCTTTCCCTCAGAGAACTCCCAGAGGTGTGACCTCTGACAACTGGTATACCTTTCCACGTTTTGCTCTACCCAACTGTGAAATAGCCAGATAAAACACTTACCTCCATGAAGGGCAAAGGGGCCCATGGGCCACTCTGCAAGTGAAAAACCTGCCAAGCACTCCACGGAGGTTGGGAGATGCAGCAGAAGACTGTGAAAGCATCATTGCAACCCGGGATCCAGCCCCCATCCCAAACCCTCCCCCATTCAATCCAGGCTAGAGAGAGAGGAAGGTAGAAGGAGAAGAAGGCAGGGAAGGGGCACAGGCATGCATCGCATGCATTCCTTTCTTTATCTTCTCCTCCCCATCCACCAAGGAGTTGGCACATTTACAGGTGACTCTGTGTGGGGTGGGAAATGGGGCGGGGGTGGGCGGTGGAAGAGGAAGTGCAGGGGACACTGGTAATCAGATGATTGGGACACAAGGCGGAAGTAACTCAGCAGGGTCATGAGGAGTCGGGGCTGCACTGTGCCCAGGAGGTGAACAAGGAGGACTTGGAAATAAGCTAAGGCTAAGAAGGCAGAGATGATACCGAAACAGGGTGAGAGCGAGAATACAGGAGGGAAAAGAATAAAAAAAGTCCACTGGTCCAAAGGAGGAAGGAAGAAAAAGAAAAAAAGGGGGGGAGGGGAGAAAAAAATAGAGCTGCTTTTTGTTCTTGTTGCTTTACAGTCTGTTTAAATTTTTTTGTTTTGTTTTGTTTGTTCTTTTTTTTTTAAAGAATCTCACACCTGATATTCCACGTTCCATCCATTTCGGTTCACCAAGGACAATGAAGAAATTCTCTTGCCTTTCGTATTCCTCCTCATCTACTATTTTAACCCTTACGGTTTTCCTGTAGGGACAACAAGAGAGAAAGTGTCGACTGGGTCGGTAGGTTGGTTGGTCACCCGGAGCACAGCCTTTCAAATCATTCCCCATCACTCTTGGCACATGCAGCCCGCCATGGTGCCTTTTGACAGGACTCGGTGGATTATATTGTTCTTATGTCAAAAATGGTCTTAGCTTTTCTTATCTCCTTGGTCAGAGTTGTCCTTACAAGTGAGAGGGAAAGGGAGTCAGAAGGCAAGGGAAAGTGGGCAAAGGAAGGGGTCCATGAGGATGGGAGGGAAATGGGGAGGAAGAAGGAGGGTGATGATGGGGAGGAGTCATTTTCGATCCTGCTGACGGTTAGTACAAAGTGAGCTGGGCAGCACATTCCATTGGGTGTCACATGGTAACTGGCATTTCTTTGGAGAGGAAGTGAACGGCTGGCCTATGGGGGTGGCCCAGGGCTCTTCTACAGCAGAGAATGTCAACAGTATCTAGCTAGGGGCTTGTTTCCCTTCCTTGTGTCTATACCCACTTCATATGTGAACCTCATAAAGAAAATCTTAAAAGGAAAGTATTTTTGAGAAAGGGAAATCAGAGAGAAAGAGAAAGGAAGGAAGGAAGGCAGAATTCTACCATCTTCTTCATTTTTTACCTTGTAAGGGCTTTAGCGGTGGGAAGTAAAATAAATATGTATTAACCACAATATGATGTGGGACTCCTTTAATAGTTACAGCTGATGCACTGCTGAAAAGTGTGATGAAAATGACATAAATCATCAATTCTAAATCATCTTTGCTCCTCTATCACATGGGGGTGATGTGTCTCAAAGCTGACTTCCTTAAATGCTGATTATTAGGAATCAGGGAGACATGGTGATAGAGGTTTCTGCTCATTTCTGGGTATCTCAACAAAGCTCGTGCTTAGTCACTCAGTCATGTCCGACTCTTTGAAACCACATGGGCTGTAGCCTGCAAGGCTCCTCTGTCCATAGGGATTCTCCAGGCAAGAATACTGGAGTGGGTTGCCATGCCCTCCTCCAGGGGATCTTCCCAACCTAGGGATCGAACCCAGGTCTCCCTCATTGCAGGCAGATTCCCTACCATCTGAGCTACCAGGGAAGCCAAAGAATACTGGATTGGGTAGCCTATATCTTCTCTAGGGGAATCTTCCTGACCCAGGGATTGAACCAGGGTCTCCAGTGCTGCAGGCAGATTCTTTACCAGCTGAGCTACCAGGGAAGCCCCAACAAAGCATAGTATCTATTAAAACCAAATCATACAGGAAAGTAAAGTTTCCATGAAAATCACTTCCTTTCATGGACTGGCCTGAGGCTGGTTCAGGTCCACTGTCATTGGAAAAGTTGCCATGTGGGCCTGGATCTCTCTGTGCGGCTTCTCCTGGTCCTTCACGGAACCACAGTGGTATCAAGAAGTCCTAATAGTGAGCCCTAATTGTTATTTTCTGCTTTTTATTTTGCATTTTGTTTGTTTTGCCTGGGACCTGAATGCTCTCTAAAGGGTAAAATGTGCTAACGAACAATAGTGTAAAAAATTTCATTAGAACCTCTGATGTTCCTGTTCCATTCTGAAGACAGGCTTGGCTTTGTCATCTATACAGTGGTAGGCTGATCTAACATGCTTTGCTGGGCACAAGACTTGCTGTGCATTTGTGGTGTGTGGGTGTATGTGCGCTTGTGTGTGACCTTTTGAGCACTTTCTGGACATCCTTCCACACCTTGCTCAGTGCACCAAAGACAAATATCACTGATTGTCAAGAGGCATTTTCTGGGACTCTCTCTCACCCTAGATGTGGTACCCTAGGGCTGTCTGCAGGACATGAGCCCGGCCTGTTTTTCCACTGCAGGGATTCTGCTGGGGGATGGGAAGGAGGTGCTTGCTCTGTGACCCTGGGCACGGTCTGGAGGGACACGATTGATGACTCTGCCCTCCTGCACAGTATGATCCATCCAAAAAAAGGATTTTCTGTCTTGTCTCTTGGAGGCTGGGGTATATGGGGCCACTTAAGTCGAAGCAGAAGCTTCGCCCACTCTGAGAAGTCCTGTGACTTCTTGGGAGAGCCTCCCCTCAGGTCAGAATCCTCCTCCCATCTTCTAACTGTCTTCACACCTAGATGCCCTTCACAGGGAAAGCAGAATATGACAGGCAGTTCTTTGATCTAGACCTAGAACGCAAACCTGTACTTTCAGCTCAATCAAGGTCAGGGAGAGAAAAATACCCTTGCTCACAGGGATATGGCAGTTAAGCAGCTCTCACCTAAGGCCTGCCTTGAGGAATGGATGAACCACAAATAGAACCCAAATCCAAATATATTGATCGTTCGTACCCAGGGACTACCAGCTTAGCCCTGAGAAGAGCTGCCCTGTGGGCCTCGGCTAAGAGCTGGGCCAGCGTTCCAGGGCTGCCCTTCTGCCTGGAGCTGTGCTATCTTTTCCTTCCTTGCGCCCTAAACCACTCGGGAGGAGCAGAGAGCCTCATGTATGATACTCTCAGGGCTGGAGCTAGTGCTCTCTCTCTCTCTCTCTCTCTTTTTTCCCCCATATCCACCTCCTCATCCCACAAAAGTTACCACTGGCTCATCCCTCTAATGATACCATGTGACAGGCTGGCAGGTGTTAGGACAGAGCTAGGTGCAGAGAGAGGAGAGGGAGAGAGGAAAAGAGAAGACAAGAAAGGAAACAGAGACAGTGAACCAGAGAGGCAGAAGAAGGGGAAAGAGAAGGCGACAAATGGGTAGGAGGAAAGAGGAAACCGAAGAGGAGAGGAGAGTGTTAACGTTAGTGTGGCGGACAGGGTACTACACCTTTCTGAAAACTCATATCCACCATGCGGGGGCCCATCATCTCAATGAAGTAATTCTTGCTTTTCTCATACGCCTCACCATCAATTACCTTGATGTGAACTGTTTTGCTGTGAATGGAAAAATAAGGATCATATAAGCAAGGAGTAGACTGGGGGCGAGCCAGCCAGAGAAGAAACGGGAAGAGAAAGAAACAGGGAAAAGATCCAGAAAGGTCAAAAATCTGCCCCAACACCATAGGAGCACAGAGGACAGTGGTCGCCCCAGGCCACCTTCCAGCCCCACTGGACTCCTCCCAGGCTTTGAGTGGCTTCATGGCATTATTAGACTGGAAGATGCTCAGGGTTTGCAGTCAAAGGATCTAGGTTTTAATCCTGTATTTGCTATGTGACCTTGGATGAAAAATTTCACCGCTACACAAACAGGCTGAATAACACTAACATCATCCCAGGGCAAACGTGAGAGCTGTGAAACATACATATAAAGGCTCAGACATTTAGGTTCTTCTAAAGCATTTCCTTCCTTATTCTGTCTTGCTTTTAGAGCAAGACAGAATTTAAAAAAAAATTTTTTTTCTTTTGAAATCAGCTTATACTGACTTGAAAGGTTTATTTTATAGAAAGGGCAGAAAGAGCAGTGTGTGGGGGGATGCTGCTAGCCCGTGGGAGTTTTGCCTGGAACTGGTCCCTTTCTCTGTGTTTGTGACTATCACAGGGAAGCCTGGAGGGCTGTTTGGCTCAAGTCACACCTTCTGGTAATTCACAGCAGTCGTCAAACACTACCGACCAGATCTGCAAATGAGCTTCTGTTGTCAGAGGAACACACTGACTGGATCACAGGAACTCTGACTCTCTGAATTACGATTAATTCATAAATCCTACAGCGATCTTGTGATGAGCACAATTAAGTTATTTTTTGTGCGAAAAGGAGTTGCTCTGTTAAACACTGAAAAACAGAAACCAATTTCAGGAACCCTGTTTTGCATATTTCTTTACTTTAAAAAACACATATTACCAGGAGCTTCAAAAACAGAGGCGGTCCTGAGTCTCTCCCAGGCTGTGCTTAACAAGGGGGATGTTTCCGGATCAGACCCCAGATACTAAGGGGGAGAGACATTGCGGGATGAGGGTGGGCATGGAGCTGAGTCTCCCCTCTGTGGTGGGAGAGAAGGGGCCACACAGGAGCCCTGCTCAGCGCCCCAGGGCATTGCCTTTTCCCACCCGGGTGCCCCGAGGCCTGCCCTTTGTGGAGGAGACGGAGGCCTTCAGCTTCACCCTTTATTATTTAGCATAAAGTAGGAATATGGCTACATTGTGACTTGGAACAACCTCTCTTCTCTCCTGTGCTTTTCCAAGTCACTGTCAGAACTCTGGATGTCTACAGAGCTTCCACCGGCCACTCTGTCGATCTTGTAGAACCAGATGTCGGTCCATTGCTCCTGAAGTGAATGTAATAGCAGTTACTAACGCACCCAGCCACTGCCACCCCACTGCTTCAAAAACAGGCTCCAAACCCTCATCACTTGTCACACCCACCCCAGTCGCAGTGGGTTTGTATCAGAGACAGTGACCTGGAGTCAAACCCCGGCCTGCCTCTCAGTTAGCTGGGTGACCTCAGGCGACTTGCTAGAGCTCTCCAAGTCTCATTTGTAAAGTGGAATACTATTACTTCTTCACAGTGTTCTTAACTGAGATAATGCATGCAAAGCACTTGGCAGGTTGTGCGTTCCCTAGTAAATGCTTAATAAATAGCCACTATCATTACTAAGAGGAATATAACCCCAGTTTGGTGCATCAAGAGTAATATGTAAAGAAATCTCATCTCCAGTTATTGAAGCAGAGGATACATGGGAAGTCAAGATATAGAACTGATGACCCAAGAGGCAGCACAGGCTGGAAATAGAAGTCAGGTCCAGAAGGAATTGGACAGAACAGGATCGTCACTGCCAGATGGGTTCTTAGAGGGGCTTGGAACGTTCAAGGCGTAACATGGACAGCGACTCTCACATGCTCCCCCAATCGGGCTTTGCGTCCCTGCCAGTGACAAGTTGTGGGCTGGACAGACCCCGTGTCAGGAACACAGCCTGCCCTGTGCTTGTTTGATTTTCAGTGAACGGAGAAATAGAATGAGACAAGTCACTGACACCTTAGTTGCAGACAGAGAAATGAGGCCAGACAACAAGTCGTGGCAAGAAAAGTCTGGCTG